ATCTACATCTTTATTCCATAGACCTCCTCCTCTCGCCCGCCGTGCGCCGTCACCCGCCCACCTACCACCGTTTGTTCTGTCTACCGTTTGCCTCCCACCCAGCTCCGCCCCCCCAGGCCCAGCTCAACCATATTGCAATCTCCTGGCAGCGTCCGCCTGTTGCTGACAGTTTTCTTTTCTTTGCTTTTTGGTTTATATTTCTTTTTTTTCTTTCTCGTTTTTGGATTCTTTGGTCGCGTGCACGCGCGAAAATTAGGAAAATATTGTTTTGCCTCTGCCTCAGTCCGTTCGTCTCTCTACCTCTCTCTCTCCCTCCCTCATACCATCGCATAGTTTGCTGCGCGCATTGATATTTATTTATTTTTGTTGTTGTTGCGCTTCAGAATAAGCGGATTTCAATTTCAATGTTGAATCAAAGTGAAGCCGTTAGGCGTTATTCAGTGTACGGTACATAAAACCACTGCGAAATGCCAGCAATTGTGTATTTTTGTGGGCTGTTAGTTATTTTTGGAAATGTAACGATCAATTGCACGCGTATCGATATGCATATCGAGCACTTGGTGCTGAAACATATCGATTGGTATTGCCATAGTTAAGAATGAACGCAATGCCAATTGGCAATTTATGAACGCTTCGTTAGGAGCCCACAAGAAAAGCATTTTAGGCCCTTTTCTACTTTAAATGGCAAATCGTATTGAACATTTCAACAACTGCGTATCATCTATAGCTTATCTAGTTGTTGAAATGTAGTGTTATAAAAATTGTATAAGGAATATGCAATCTATCAGCGAAAATATGTATGTACATATATACAGATACATAGCTAACTAAAAGTATACATATTTACTGACAATTAGCTCTAAAAAACCCGCGGATACTTGAAATATTCAACAGACAACCAACCAAATTATACTCCTTCAGGCCGACACGAACAAAAGGTCGAACATCCATTTAGTGGTGCACATACAAGTTTTATACGTAGACATACACACACACACCACCCCACAAATATACATACATGTGAACATACATACAAATACATGTATCTTTACTACCCACTCAAAAGCTCAATTCTGTGTACTTCCCCCATTTGGAACTGGGCTCTGTTCATTTTTTATGTATTATGTTTTATTTGTATTTTGTTTTGGTAGTTTTTTTGTTATTTATTTATTTATTTATATTTTTTTTGCTGCAAGTCGTTGTTGTTGTTGCTTTAAATCCATTAGGATATGACAACCCCTGCTTAAATTCAATTAAATTGTTTTCTCTTTGGGTTTACATTTCTTGGTAACTTTATAATTGTTTCATGTGTTTAAGCCACCAACTAGAAGTAACGTATACGACATTGCCTCGAGTGTGGAAGGCCGTGAATCATTCGAAACGGGCTGCGGGCCGAGGGAAAAGGACAGAACGAATCCGCCAAGGCGCAAAGCTAAAAACCAAGCAGCATAAGAAATAACTGGCCAAGAAAAATACAAAACCCCAAACCATGCCAAAACACAACTGAATGAATGCCGCAGAAAATGATAGAGAGAGAAGGAAAGCACAAGCAACCAAGCAAGCAGAACCGGAGTTTTTAGTAGCCTCGAGAGATTCTTTTTCCATTTGCCTCGCCAGAACATCTCCCGCCCCCTGCCAACTTCAAGCCCCGCCCCAACTCCTGCTGCTCTGGCCACCTTCCTCAAAAGGGCGCTTGGCATTCGTTTGCCATTGTTGTTGTTATTGTTGTTTTGTAAAACAATCAACAAAATAAAAAGTGAAATAAATAATAAAAAGGCGAAACGACATCAGCCAAAAATACTTTAAAAAAAGAAGAAAATATTGTAAAAAAAAGTGATGCCAGTCAGTTACAAGAATGGAAACAAAATCACGGTTGAAATTTGAATGCGCTGCAATTTAAAGTAACGGCTATATCGATAGCGATACTATATCTGTATCTACTTAGATATATTTTCTATATCGTGTATCATCCTATTTATATATCCTATATGCCATATTCTAATCCTATATCCTATATCATATATACTATATCGCATTTCCTATATAATATATTCTATATCCTATATTCTTGTCCTTTACCTTTTCCCTCCTATCCTCTAATCTGTATCCTCTACACGCTGACATCTATCGTCTATCATATCCCATGTCCTATATCCTATATCATATATACTATATGGTATTTCCTATACCATATATCCTATTTTCTATATCCTATATCCGATATCCTATATCCTTGTCCTTTACCTTTTATCTCCTATCCTCTAATCTGTATCCCCTACAATCTGACATCTATCGCCTATCATATCCCATATCCTATATCCTATATCATATATACTATATAGTATTTCCTATATCATCTATCCTATATCCTATATTCTATATCCTATATCCTAGTCCTTTACCTTTTGTCTGCTATCCTCTAACCTGTATCCCCTACAATCTGACATCTATCGCCTATCATATCTTTTCAATTCTCTTTACCTTATCTTATATCTCTATATCATATATCAGCTATTGCCAACGTACAAATCGATTCGTTAGAGCCGCTTTGTAGTGTATTCGGCTGACATTTGAAGACAGTTGTAGACCCCCATGTTGAAGGCCGTGGTACTCTCTGCATAAACCCAATATAGACGAATCTTTCCATTGCCACTCACTCAACACTCCGCGACATATGTATCTCCTGTCACTCATGTGTGTGCTGGGGATGTGTGTTGGGTGTGGGTATGTGTGCGGGGTGTGGAGGGTGCGTGGGTGCTGTGGTGCTGGATTGCGGGGGTATAGGCTGCTTCAGCGGCCGACGCCCTTTACACGGCGCTATCTTTGCACCAGCCCCAGCTGCAGCAATTCGTATTTTATACCATTTCATCTTTATCATCAGATTGTTTTGCTTTGTTTTCCCGCTACCATTCGTTGTTGTTGCGCGTCCTTTGGCCAACGGTTGCCACGCCTACCGCAGGCCTCCACTTTTTAGATCACGAAATCACGGCACAGCTCGCACAGCAGCCCCACGCTCAGCAGGGGCCGGCAGACCTCAGTCAACAGGCATGCAGGAGCAGCAGGTAAATCTCAGCCAAGTGGGTGGGCGGTTGAGTTGGGGGATCGGGGTTGGGGTTAGCGCAGGTGGGTAACATTTTTACATGTGGTGACTGTGACGTCGACATCAGCCGGCGGCTGACGGACCAGAAAATAAGCATTCACCTTCTCGCCGTTGATGTTTTTGGCGTGCGGTAAATGGCGGGGCTGACATTGTGGGCGGTGGCTGGGTGGATAGCCGGGCTCACTGTATGTGCGCGACCGTATATATATGTATGTGTGTGTGTAGTATACTTTTGGTTACTTGAGTGGCGGCAGCGGCAAATGTTACAAATATTTGAAATATTTAAAATAGCACGCACACATATGCAAACAGAGATGCACACACAAACATACACACACACACAGTGTCACATTCCGCGGGCTTGTGTGTGTAGTGTGCCATGCGGGTGGACCTAAAAGTTTCTCACCGAGACCTTTTTGCATTATTAATGGCAAATTTCAATTAGCCTTTTGCAGTAAACGCAACAGACCAAGAATTCAAATTACAATGCGAGGGTCGAGCGAGAAGTTGCGGCAGCGTCTGCTGGCTAATTGTGGGGTAAATTCAGGCAAAACCAAGCTGGTATGGGTGAGTGCTGAGGGCGGTCACTGAGTCGGCCTGCTGGACTTGATTGGATTGAATAATAAAGTGAATGTGGAGGAGTAATTGAAATGAACTTACTGTGGAGCCGCATGAAGAGGTGAGATGCGTAACAGATACCTTGATATGTTTGTGAAAGCAACAGAGATCTAACAGACCAAACATTACGAAGGAAATTTGTAAAGTTCCATTAGATCTAAAATAAAGAGTAAATTGAATATTATTTAATTCGTTTATATATTCTAAATATGTTGTGGGATTGTTGTCAACATTTGTACCCGCTACATTATTGTCAACTTTCTGGATATAATACAAATTGTTTGAATTTAAAATAAATCATATACAATATATGTAAATATATTGTAAA